GAAAACACAGCTCGCTTTTCAAACAAAGCTGTTTCAAAATAAGGAAGTGAAACATTTTGCTGAAAAACAATGAAGTGTTGGGATAGTTCCCAGATCTCCTTTTATATCTCACTGATAACAGTCTCTTCTCCCTAAAATCTTGTTGGGGTGATGATTCGGAGAGAAATTGTCATCTACTGAATCATCAAGAGTTGAGGTCCACTGATCAGCCAGACATTTTAGAGCTGCGTTAGGAGAGTGCGTTGCTTTGTGACAGGTGGGGAATCCTGCCCAGGATATTTTCAAACCCAAAAATTCAGTGGTATCCCAACAGGTGAAGTGGTACAAGGGGAATTGTTTGGGGTGCTGGGGGGGACAGGGAAAGGAGGGCTTTCCCCTTCAAGTGAGGTTGAAGATTTTTTAAAATATCAACAATAATAAAAGTTTAAAAAAATACACTTTCAGAAACTGATCTTTCCTAAGAAGCAGTACATATAAATGCCCATATTTTAGAAGACAGTATGAACCAAGAAGGTGTTCATAAATATGATTTCAAAAACTAAAAAAAACTGTGGTTGGTGTTACTGCAGATAAGCAATCAGCAAGTTTACTACATCAGCAGGCAGGAGGGAACTCTGTCAGCCTTTTTTCCCCACATTGAGTAGCTTTCAGGCAACTAGATGATTTTAAATGAGATTATGTATTTTGTAAAGGAGAGGAACATTCTGACAGACTGAATCCAGAGTGGTTCCAAAAGCAGTGACTATAGCAGTATTCAGAGTTTAGCCTAGTTTAACATAGTGTTATAGCAACTGTGCAGAGCTGCTTCTGCAGATTGTGTTAAACTAAGCTTAGCACTACTTCTGTCATCTCACTGGAGTCACTGGTCTTAGTCAAACCCCACTAATGGTACAGAATGTACTCTGCTCGTTACAGACAGTCCATGGCATACAGATATTCACTTGCAGTTTCTGGAAATACAAACTTGGGTTTTGTTAGCATAAGCCGTCGTTTATTTCTGCCTGCTTTTTGCGCAAGAACAAGGTCACTCTATTCCTTTTTCTGCTTTTAAGTATCCCTCGCTTTCCCACCCCCTCGTGTGATTTTTAAGTTATTGCATAGACCGTTAAATACACCCAGAACACTGTATGGGTACGTGAACAGGAGTGGCTGGTTGTGAACAGTTCTGCTTGGCACAAGCAGCATGGATAATCACATTTAACCCAGCTTCATATCAAGCTGAGATCCCCTGAGATCTTGTAGCTGAAGACATACCAGACCAAATTCTTCAGTTCGGAGAAAGTCATAGGTTAGAGTGGGGTCAACTGCAATTTAAGCATCTCTCAAGTTCCTCTGTGTGCAGTTCTCACTAGTGCAGCCCAGTATCAGGAGAATAAGCGTACGAAGCAGTCTAAATGCAAGGACATCTGAATTAATGCAAGAAGTCAGATATGCCCATATCTGCATCACTTCTGAATTTTGTCAGCTGCACAGCCGTTCCTTCGGGATAGCACTGCGGTAGGATGCCACCACGTAGAGTGCAGCCTAAGGCCATTTGGCATTGTAAAGCAATCCTAGAAACACCACTGTGGGGTCACAGCATCTGCAAATGATGAATTCCAAAGTGCTGCAACCACTTTCACTAGGACCTCAGCTAGTAAATATATTTCTCCTCTATTGGTATCTCTGATGTTAGAAGAACGCTCTTGACAAACACAGTAAAGATTTAAACCTCAGAAGGGAGAAAAGCTATTTCAGTCGAAAGACCATCTTGGCCCTTGAACAAGTGGGCATAAATGCATTTATATATAAATTTAATCTGGACTTTACCAGCAAGTTTTAGGCATTAGAAGGCATTTAGACTTGGGATCAGCCTCCAATAGCAGCTACTGGAAGTACGCTGCCAAAGGACACACGGTCACAGCTGAGGAAGGGTCGCTTAATAACCAGAATGGAAAGTTCAGGCAAGGGTCCTGGGCTCACTTTTGCCCCAAAACTGAGAAAATGGTCTTGGAGAAGGCCAAGGAGAACCCAACCTGCTGGGCAATATAATGACTGCTACCTTAGGGAGGGGGGAGATAAGGGACATGTACGCACAAGGGGATGCGTAAGCCACAAAAGAACCACAGAGGTCCATACTATAAGGACAGAGCAGACAAACCACCGGCCCCTGCTTTCAAGGACAAGAGCACTAGAAAGGGAACATACATCCAAGGATGAGCCTGAAAGCTCCTGAAAGAAGAGTTATCAGAGCCTGTGCGTCCTTCAAGTCACCAAGCCCAGGGGCTGTGACCCCACAGCTGCCTGTTACGCATCCGCAGGAGAAGGTCTAACCAGATGAGCAATAAGGCATGAAAGCAATTTTTCTTCTTTACTCAAACAGAACAGGCTATTGCTGACACTGAATAGCCTTGAATCAGTAGTAAGGTGAAAATTTGTAACTTCAAGAAAAATAACGGCCACCCATTTGCTTTGCAACTGGGGTTTCAAGTACAGAAGGGATTTTGCCCCTTTTTGTCATTAAGCTGTGTAGCTCTCATCTTCCTGCTAATCCAAATGCTGTGCTGATTTAACAGTGTCACTGTGTTCTGTGAAAAGCTTAAGATAGCTCTTTTATCACCAGTTAGAACAGTAGTGACTTGAAATTAGTTGTATACATGTAGGGGAAAACAGACTGTCTGTCCCTCTGCCAGAACAAACAGCTCATATTCATCTGACTGCATAGAGTAGGGGTAAGCAATCCTTAAGGAGGAAGAAGTTTTAGGATCTTAATAGCTCTGGTATGGCTGACTCAGCTTTTTGACATTCCTATTAAAAAAAAAAAGTTAATCTAGATAATCCCACCAGCTGAAAAGCAAATTAGGTCTGCAAGTGGTAAACCTCAGCCCTCTGCAAGAGTTCAGGTCATGCAGGACCTGAAAATGTAGCGTGGGAAAGCTGTGAATAATTCGGGCTAGTTTGGTACTAAGGAAAGAGCTACAGATAATTGGGGTTGGGGATATTGGCTCAAGGAGCCACCAGCTGACTGCCTCCCCCTGCATGCACCTGCACCTGTGCTACCTTGCCTTTGCATCCTGCCCAAATTTTCTCTTGGAAAAACAGAGAGAAGTTTATAGTCTTCCTCTGTCCTAGTTGTTTCCGCTTTCCTAAACTGAAATAAACAAACAACCAAAAAAATTCCAATTCTATAAAAAGAAAAAAAAAAATTCCATTACCATAGCAACAAAGGCCCCCCCCATACCCATCAACACAGAGAGTCCCCGTTGGCCCCACGATTCACCGCAGCCACGGAGGGTTCTTTTTATACCAGGACTTTGGAAGCTGCGGGGAGGACGAGAGCCCAGCGGCTGCCCTGGGGTGCAGCCCCCCCTGCCTGCAGCGTGACCGCTGAGCCCCGCAGGCAAGTGCATTTGCAGGGGGAGGACACGTTGCCCAGGACTAGGAAAAAATCTGGATCTGGTTCCCCCGCCCACCAAGGGATCGCAGAGCTTCTGCTGGTTTTGGGAGCTCTGGAGTAATGCTGCGAAAGGGGCGATTCGTAACTTGGATCTAGGAAAGCAGCTCTGACGAGGGCCGGGATCAGTCAAAGACCAAAGGGAAGTCCACCCAGCCCGATATTTAATTTGACACCAACATACGGTGTTAGTCTGCGTTTAAAATTACCTGCTGTTATTTCTGCGCCACACGCGTTACTCTTTATCACTTGAGATTGTCCAGGTGTCAGACAAGAGCTCCCTCAGAGGGTCACATCAGAGGCAAGAGGCAGGCAGCCTTCAATACTAGGGGTTTTTTTTTCCCCCCCCCCCCCCAAAAGTAAATCC